CCCCGGACCTCGGGCCCGGCCGGGGCCAGGAGAGCCAAAAGAAACAAAAGAGCCAGAGAAACAAAAGCAATCCCGTATTCGGTTGGTGCAGACTGTGACGTACTCTAGGTTTAACTGTGGTGGGGAGTCCAACGAGCAGCACCCATTTTCCTCAGAGGTTTTATTTTAATGCTTCAAGAATGTGAAGAGGAGGAGCGAACAATGGAAAATCTAAAAGTCTCCCAGTAACAAAGAGCTGGGGTATTTGGGGTGTGTTTGCCTCTCAGGGCTTGAAGATGGGCTAAAGATATGTGTAAGTCTACTTTTTGGTAAACTAGGAGAAGTTTCATTTTTCTTAAGGTTAATGGTTCAGTGGCAGCACTGGAGGGGCAGAGCCCAGGGAGAGGAAGGGCATTAACAAATGTGGAAGTCAAAGAAAGGTCTTTCATTTGTCTCTGGCTAGTGAGACCCTATTCAGTCAGACAAAATTCTTGCTTGAGTTTTGTTCTTGTGAAAAGAATCATGTCATAGTGCTTTACCACAGTAAAGTAATGCAGACACGCAGCATCTATACGTTTTGTGGGGCAGTTGGCATCTGTAGGGGAAATTCTTAGTGAAAGTGTTTCATTGGGAACCTCAGGCTTCCTTTAGTTCTTTTGAGAAAGAGGAGTGATTAAAGATGGTGCTCTTCACCGATTTCTACTCTGAGATAAGTCTGTGCTTCAGCCCAGTTTTCCCTTACCTGTGATGCTGCGTTACTGTTAATTGGTAACATTATTTCTTTTGGGTTGAATTCTGGGCTTGGGAGGAGCGGATAGGGTAAGGGCAGTTCAAGCCGTTATATGAACATCAGGAAAGTAGCAAGCCCTGTGGAAACATTCTTTTTTAAATTTTTTTTTTTTTTTTTTTTTTGTCATTTTAGGAAACAGACATGGCCTGTTGGTCCCAAGCAGTACGACAGACCAGGAGCTTCAACACATCCGCAATAGCCTTCCAGATTCTGTACGAATTCAACGAGAAACAGATTTACGAGTAGAAGAGCGTCTTTCAGCACTGGGCAATGTCACTACCTGCAATGACTATGTAGCTCTTGTTCATCCGGATCTTGACAGGGTATATGGCTATAAAACACTTTTAAATTCATAGCGGATGCATGTGAAATGATTGCCAAGCTGCAGTTTGGGTTTGTAGTTGTTGAGGATTTACTGTATGTAGCATGGGGGTCAGAAGAGCTGTGCTAACAGCTGAGCTAATGTCATGCAGGAGGCTGTGCTGCCTCACGTTTCAGTTATTCTCAAGCAAGAAGTCTTAAAATTGGATTTTGGACTTCTGTCTTCGTTTCAGTTGATCTGCCTCTTCTCCTATATTTACCTTGATTTGTGGATGTGGACCCTGCCCAAGTATAGCATGTGCCTTCTTGTTCAGCATGTTGTAGTGAAGGCCCTTCACAGAAGGGAAATAGTAGGGTATGGAGATACATTGTCAGGTGCAATTTGCTTTGCATATGTAAAATCGAATGAATAAAAGAGAGTGTGCATGTGTGTAATAAAGAGAGCATAAAGAAGAGTGTAGTCAGGACTACAGCAGTAATTACAAGCTACTGCAAAGCTAGCTGAAATTTGTAGTAGTTTAAAGAGGCCATGGATGTGGTGGTGTGCATGTTTACAGAGGGGTGAAAGAAAAATGGAAGGTTCTTGTATGGAAGTTTAAAATGAGGGCAGAGGAGACAAAGTTGCTGCTACTTTATGTTTGGGAACTGGTATCTTAATAGCATTAGAGAGGGGTGTGTTGTGTGGCTACAGGTAGTGAAGGTCTTTACAGTGTGTGCTTTCAGTTTGTGCTAAAGCTGATGAAGAAATACGTCGTGTTAGGAGTGCAAAGGTAAAAAAAGGGGAGGGGAGAAAGGTAATGGCCTTTGCAGCATATTATGTTTTAAATAAGTTTAAAAAGTAAGCCAAGATGGCCAGAGAGTGAGAAATCAAAATAATTCACAATGAAAACCTGGAGGGGAAGGAAGTTCTTAGAGTTATGTAGAAGGATAAGACAGTTGTGTCCCAGTGGTGTGGGACAAAAGAGGACTGGTTCACAGGGAATGCTCAGGGAACAGGTATTGACACAACCGAGGTACTGACAACATCCTCCAGAAAAAGGGGAGAAGAGCATTTCTCAGTGAAGGCCCAGCTCGGTATGCACAGGTAACTGGAACCATCTGGAGTATAGAGGTTGAGTAAGGGTTTGATAATGATTGGATTGCAATGGATTGTGAAAGTGTGGGCAGGCTTTCAGAGGGAAGGATCGCAGCTGATGGTTGCATGCAGGAATAGCTTGACTTTCAAATTCTACGATACCGGTTTACGGAGGACTTTATTCTTTCTTTCTGTTTGCAGGAGACAGAAGAGATCTTGGCAGATGTACTGAAGGTTGAGGTTTTCAGACAAACGGTAGCAGATCAGGTGCTGGTAGGAAGTTACTGTGTTTTTAGTAACCAAGGAGGAATTGTGCACCCCAAAACTTCAATTGATGATCAGGATGAACTGTCTTCATTGCTCCAGGTCCCGCTTGTGGTAAGGCATTTGTGGGTTTCTGTTTTCTCTTGCCACTCCCTTCCAACCCAGTTCTCAGTTTTAATGTTTCTACATCTTGTGGGCTCCTAGATGCTGTTTCCTCAGCAGAGCTGTTCCAAGGAGAAGACTTGAATGGGGCAAGTCTTCTGAGACATTTTCTGTGTCTCTTCTGAGTCTGAATAAGCTGCTTAGCACCTCTAGTTTGCTTCTGAAATACTGCTCTGCTGGGATTATGCAAATTGTGCTGATTGATTCATACAGAATGTGAGATTGTCTGTGGTTTGGCCAAAGGCATCGTTTAAAAAAAATCGAGTAATAAAATCCTGTGCCTGCCCATTTGGATTTGTGAATTTCATGATTGCTATGCCTTTGTGCTTCCTACTTGTTAGATTGTATTTCACTGAATGTCACACAATTTTCTCTCCAGAGATTAAAGGCTGTCCATTAACGTTTTTATCTGAAATCTTTACAACTTTCTTGATGGCAGAAGCTTTAATCTTTTTAGGAGCGTGAGTTGAGGCCCTCTGCTAAAGACTTGTAGTAAGGATGTGGAACAAAATGTGTTGCTGTCGGCATACCCCATTAACTCTTACTGCCTTGTTTTTGCTAGGCTGGAACAGTGAATCGTGGCAGCGAGGGCAGGTTGTAAATGACTGGTGTGCCTTCTGTGGGCTGGATACAACCAGCACTGAGCTCTCTGTCATTGAGAGTATCTTCAGGCTGAATGAAGCTCAGCCAAGTACCATTGCTACCAACATGAGAGATTCCTTGATTGACAGGTAAGGAGGATTCAGGTCTGTGTATAATCATGATCAAAACAGGCAAGATTTTACTATAAAAATGGCTGTTTTCACAATTGATTTATCTTCTTAAAAATTTTTTTCTTTTAATTTTACTTCCTCTTTCCTTTTGTTGGGTTACTGACAACAATTGCCTTGTTGCAGAAGGGTTTGTTTGATGTTGATGAGCTTGTTTAGTCCTGTATGGAAAGTGTAAGGGGTTTTGTTGCAGTTATAATACTTTTTGTGAGAAATAGCATGCATTTCAACTTTCAAGTGCTTTTTTTTCTAGTTATTCAGTGCTTAGCTATGATGTGAATGGATTTTTTTTTTTTTTTTAAATCTTGCTTTAAAAGTTAAAAAGCTAGTGACTTTGCTTGACATCTTGGCTTTTGATTGTTGTAACCCATAAAATTATTATTTCAAATGCCTGCTACAACCATTTCTGGAGCCAAAAATACTTTGGAGCTTGTCTGCCTTTAAAGCTTTTTAATTTAAGGCTGCTGCCTTAAATTTTTTAAGCCTTTTTGTCAAAGGCTTTGTCCAGGTTACCTTTTAATGGGAAGCAGGTTTTCTTGTTTTCTGCCTGGAGTGGTAGTGATAGAGGACCATCCCCATTCATTAATGTGTGCAAATTTTTTTACAAGGTTTAGGTATACATAGAGATGAATGTCCTATGCAAACTTCATTTGGGTTTTCATCTGATTACAACTCTTGCAATGATTGCTGTGGTGCTAGAGGTGTGTTCTTGAGCTACCTAGGCCATTGTAGCTTAGTGGCTGAGTTCTCAGTTGTTACAAGAATATGTAGGAATGGTTTACAGCATAAGGAATTCCTTGAATGAAGATCCCTTTGAAGGAGTTCTTTGCTGCCCCTTTACAGTTCCTGTGTAAAAGCTTGATGGCCCTGAGCATAACAGAGCCATAATTAAACTTGCTTTGAGCTTTTGATAACTACCTGGACCAGGCTGAGTGTACATTTTGCCTTTGGCAGCTTGACAAGTCTGTTCTTACAGCTGGCTGTTAGCAGCTGCTAGGTCTGCTTCCCTGTTTTCATAAGACCCTTATGTTGTAGGAGGGAAATTTCCACTGGGCCTTTGTAATTGGAGGTTGAAAACTGACTGTACTGGTTTTGAAATGCCTTCTGCACTCTCTGGCACTCATCTGCTAAATCTCCTTTCTGTTTTGTCTTTTTAGCTTGACATGAGCATTAATGGTTCCTACTTTCCAGAAGGCTCCTAAGGAGTGAAGTGTCAAGCTGCACTTTGGATTACAGACATCTAGACCTTCTGGTGTTGTTTCTGCAGGCCTAGCCCAAGGAAGAGGCTACAAACCCAACTTTTTGTAGTGTTTTGTAAACTATTATTACAAAAACTGACAAATAACATATATAAGTTACAAATAAGGAATGCTCTCTATCCTTTTGCTGACATTTTCCAGTTCTTCAGCTGTGCTTTTTTGTTTTGTGATGCTGACTGAGCCCCTCAAATTAGCCCAGAATATTTACTCTTGTGGCTCTTGGATATTGATCACTAGGGATTATTTTGCCTTAAATAATCCTTCAGTGTTCTGCTGCACAGCAGTCTGTTTCAGCACATACATGGCACTGCCCTCTCTTTCCACAGTCTTGCTAAAAAGTGGTGTTTCTGCTGTAGATAGGCTTAAGAGCCCCTTCTATGTCCAGTACCAAAAATATAGTAGTTTACTTGCTGCAAAATAATTCAGAAGTCATCACCTGCTCTCTTGCCCTGACTTGCAGCTATTCCCACAGGGCTGGTGATTCTGAAGTGATCAGGTCTGATTAAAACTGGAGTTTCTCCAAGTCAGTCCAGGGACTTCTAACAGCAACGTGTGACTGCCTCTAGAACAGTGGTATTTGATCTGTTGTCTGCAGATGCCTGGTGGCATGTGTGCTGTTTCTGAGTCACCTGGAACAGAGAGGCTAGAAAAGCCTGCTATTGCCCATGGGCTTAAATTTGTTATACGGGAGTTAGCCACCTATGCTGGGAAACTCTTAAGTCAGTCATCTTTTTTTAAATCAAAAAAGATTTAAACCACCTCATCTTGTGTTCTCTTGGAGACAAAGATTAAGTAATGTGGTTCTAAGCAGTTACTCCACTCAGTCAGATGTTACAGATTTGGGAACTTGCTAATTAATAGCTCTGCCCTTGTTGGAGAATGATGAAGACGAGAGCTATAGGTACCACTTTCAGGTGGAAGATAGTCATTTGCTTAACAGAGCTATTGCTCCCTGATCTCTCATTTCAGTTGCATTTTCAGTTGCAACCTTAACTTGCCTGTTAAGGGTGTACTGAAGGCATAGAAATGTCTCCAATTCCCATCCTAAGGGTATGTGGAAGCTCCTTGCTTGCTTCCACACAGCTGCATTACCCTCAGCTGGGTTCTGAGGAGTGTTGTCCTGAAGGCCATGTGGGCAGAGCTCTTTTTTGGCCCCGGTGCTTCAGGCTTTGTAGAAAATTAAGTAAACTTCCATTTTTGTTTTACTGTCTGGATGGTTAGGGAAGGTTTTGTAAGTTTTGGTTGATTAAAGGTTGCTCCTTAAACTGCTAAAAATTACCGTAGGATCTTCCCTGATCATAGCAGTCCTGCCATCTGGTTGTCTAGGATGGTAACTGAGCCAGGGGTTGCCATTTCCAGACAGGTCACCTTCCCTCTGCCATTGGGGAAGCCTGTAAGCAGCTCATAGCTCCTTGCTACTGTGGCTAACAATTTTTGGTGTTCATGACCCCTTTGATACAATGGACTCCCTTTCTTGGCACTGACTCCAGGTCTCCTCCTCTTAGCATATCTCAGTATAGAGTAAGAAGCTGCTTTCCTTTGGCCACCCGACAGGGCTCTGTTGTTAGGTATAAATGGCAAAGAGTGCTGCTATCGGTGTCAGTGTGTATTCATCAAGTGTGAAATGAGTAAGGCTGAAGTTTTCCTCTGCAGCTTCTGTAACTTAACGTTTTTTTCATTCCGGTTGCTAGGCAGGAATCCTGGTTTATATTGGTGATCTTGATGTGTGTTGCATGTTAAAAATTGCTTAGAGGTAAAGAAGAAAAATAATCAGTCTCTGTGTAATCCAGATCCTTAAATAGCAAAGACTGGTGCAGAGTTGGGGGTTGTGATATGCCGGAGGATTGGAGACAGACAGCAGAACCGGGTATTGCTAACTGTGGTGCATGACCTCTTAAAAAAGTTGCATTGAAGCTTGGGAACTGGAAGGTGGCAAACGTGATAACCTGCTCTAAACAAGGGTTGGTGGGAATTCTGAACTGGTAAGATGGACCTGTGTACAAGGAAAACAGAAACTATAATAAAGAATGGAATTAGTAGAAACATGGTTACATGATATTTGGAGAGAGTAAAAACTTGGTGTTTTAATGGCAAGTCATGTCTTACAAGACCTGTGGAGTTCTTTAAAAGGAGTCCACAGAGGTATGGAGAAGGTCTGTTGTTATGTTATTTGTACTTCTGAAAGGCATTTGGCAGGATTTTGTGCCAAAGGCTTTTAAGAACCCTGGGTGAGTGATCCCATGGAACAAGAGGGAAGCCCTTTTACATGCTTGAGGATGGGGGGAAAACCTCAGAGTAAATGGTTAGATTTTCCAGTTTTCCACTGGGTGCCACGATGCTCAGTGTTACTGTGTCCCATTTAGGAAAGACAGTGGATTAGTGCAGGGAAGTTGGGCCATACTGACTTATTCTGACTAGTAAGGATGAGGACTGACTGCTAGAAAGGTAAAATCAGTGCAGCTGGACGTGAAGTGAAGCTTGTTGTGGTTAAGCATCCAAATTTCACACCTGTAGTGATGAACTCTGAGCAGTGCAAGAGCAAATTCTTGGCCTGAAGGTATGTATTTGAACAAAGATGTGTGCTCAGCCTTCAGAAACCGTCAAAAAACCAAGCTGAATGTTTGGAGTTAGTTAGGAAAAGAAAGCCCTAACAAAACATCATTATCTGTAAATCCAAAATGCATCTTTATCTCGAGTACAATGTGTAGATTAGATGCAAGTGTTGCACAGTGGTTGCCAAGCTTTTCTGCAAATGCACGTTACCCAAAAATATACTTCTACTTTGTTGTTCATTAAATTTTGTTTTTTCTGTAAACTAAAAACTCGAACCCCGGGGAAAGAAGGAGTGAGATTCTCATGCTATTGCTGATGACTTCCCATGAGAACCTGCCTAGCAGTGTCCGAGCTTGCAGGTGCAGGGCCATGAGGATGAGACCAGGAGAACAATAGTGTGAAAGAGTAAGGGAGAAATGTCAGCTCGGGTGAAGGGTTACACAGTGGCAGAATTACAAGTGGCAAGCCCTTGGCATTACATAGCTTGAGGCACTTAAAGCACTGTGCAATGCTTGCCTGATCCTTTTTATGTGCTTTATCTCAAAGGTGGCACTCTCCAGTGGTGATGTCAAAAGAAGGTGTGAAAGAATAGTCAATAAAAGCAAGTCGTATCCCCAGTGCTGGGTGTTGCTACCACAGGTTCTCAGGATTCCTAAAAATGAAATTACTCAACTATGAAGCTGTGGGTTACATACCACAGCTCTGTACCACCTTTACTATCAGGCATGACTTCAGTTATTACAAAGGCTTGCAGGAACTATCTGAGGAACTAACTCTAGGTTGCAGGAACTAACTATAGCTGATTCCAGTTGTGCTGGACAAGTAAATCTGATTCTATGAGAAATGTTGGAATCAAGCCCTGGGATGAACGTGACAGGATGGAGAAGAGTTGTTCAGAGGTTTTGAGGGAGGAATGAATGTCTTGCAGCTTGAGGGTCAGTGAAGAAGTCAGCGTGTGTAGCTTTGGCTGCCGTAGAGTGCTTTAATGTCCAGAAACTTTTGTTGGGATCCTTGACAGAAGTTTTTAAAAACCTGAGTCCTCATGGTGTGAGATGGGAGATTCCCTTGAGCATAATGACTAATTATTATAAGTTAGGAACAACTACTTTCTCTTACAGTGGAGGACAACCTCTGTTCTGACTCTACTGATTGTGTATCCCAGCACATTTCTAAGTAACATTGAGCATACTTTGCTGGTGATGAAATTATTCAAAATAGTCAAAAGCTGGGGGGAGGGGGGAAATAGAATGTCGAGTGCACTAGAGTGAATGCAGTAGAGCATATGCAGTGGGCTGCTTGCCAGAGGGGCTGCTACTGCTGTACTCAAGGTAAAGGTGTGCCAGGATTCCCCCCGGGCCGTAAAAATGACCTGTTGGCGCAGGGTGGTGTGTCTCACGCCAGGAGCACGCCGAGGAAAGCTTCTTATGGGATTAGGGTTGAAAAAGCACTGCTGTTCCCAGCTCCCCTGTGGTGGCAACACGTCCTGGTGCTGCATTTCTGGACGGGAGCTGGAACATGGCCACCTGCCCATGGAGATGCTTTAGTTGTGCTGATGGGAGGCAGATGGAGCTGATACTCTGCTGATCAGGTGCTGTGTTTCTGTAGCATAATACAGGATCCCAGCAAAGAGCTCAGGTGTGGGAATATTAAGGAACTATCCCTTATAAGAACACTGATGTTTGTGCCCAGGTCCAGGTCACCTCAGGACTGCACGGGTGCTAACCTTAAAAGAGATATGACCATGGTATGAATGGGATGGTACGTGGGGAAAGTGGGTCAACTGCTCAGCTACCTGCCCCAGGTCCCGCAGCTCCAGCTCCTCCTTGTAACTCTGGAGGGCTGTTTGTCAGCCCCTTAAACACCTACACAAATACCTCACACCCCTGGGAAGCTCAAATACGTAACATCTGCGTGGTTGCGAAGCAGTTAGAAAAGGCACCAAACTATTTCTCCGGTTCTTGGAGGAGGGCTGAGTTTTGGCAATACGGGGTTTTACCTCACTGCAGCGGGGTGCCTGGTGCTGCAGGGCAACGCGCGGCCGTCTGAGGAAACGGCTCAGCTTGCTACAGACCCCGGCATTGTGCTGCCTGTACAGCTTGTTACTCGGGATAGGGTTTTGAACAGACCGAAAAATCTGCCTTTGTGCAGGAGGAAAGAAATACAAACAAGACATATCTCTAGGTTGTAAATTTTTTGTTTGTTTGTTTAATGATGGCTGTTGGAAGTTGCTCAAAGGTTTGGGCTGTCGCAGTCCCAGAAGAGATGGCAGCGTACCGGTGAGTTCAATGTGCCATGTGGCTGTGGCGTTTGTAGTGTGCATTCTACCACATACATAGTACACATAGCAACGTACGGAGTAGCATGTGTGGGGGTGTCTAATTAGTAGCTCCGATTTCATTTGGTCCTTTGCACTTCATCACCCATCATAAGACGTTACCACATTTTTTCACTAAAATTCAAAGTTTTGCATCTACTAGCTTCTCACTTACTTTGTAATATGTTTGTAATATTTTTTTATGTTTAAACACAATAAACAGCTTGGCTATGGAAATCAATTATGAAGGACAAAACACAGTTTGAGACCACGTGTTGTGCAGTCCTAGTGGGCTTCCACTAGAAGTATCTATTTGTCTATCCTGCTTCACCATAGCAATATTTGAGCACTAGTTAGAAATTCAGAATGCTAACAATCTTTCTGCTTCTTCATTCCTCACCATTATAATTAGGAATATTTTTAGCATGTTTGTCATCCTTGGATTTTTTTTTCATAGCTGACATAAAGCTGTACTTTTTCTATACTAACTGTACATTCTGTGCACGGCACTTCCATTGCACTGAATAAAATTCAGTTATAGGCAGAGGGCTTACAGTAATCACCTATTCCTTACAGTGAGCGTGCAAAGCAGTTCATGTGCTTACGTGAATGGCACTTCTGTACAGGGCTGGACTTCACCATTACACTGCAAGTAACTTCTTCCACTCTTCTTTAACATGGTAGAAATACCAGCATCAACAAGAAAATGGACTAAGTTTGTGGTTAGGACACAACATCCTAAACCATTCACAACTGTAAGAGGGATAAGCAGAAGGTACTGTCATAGGAAGAGACTTGTGAAAAGTTACTAGCTGAAAGTTCAGACATTTATCTAGCCTTTACCTGATTTTTATGTCTCTGTCAAATGTGGCTAGTGAGAACTCATTCTACTGTGTGGCATGCTTCCTTTGGTCCTTGCCAAATATTTGCCTGTGAAGAAGTAAGCAAAAACAAAAAACCCCAAATTTCAAAGGCATACAATCTTTGTAACATCTAAAGGGAGTGGATTTAGTTTTATAAACAGGCCTAATTCTTACTGTATCTTGACTATTTCAGAAAAATATAATGATGGTCTCACTCCAAACAAACATTTCCATTCTCCTGAAACCCAACATACAAATTCCACAATCTAGTTATACATGCCACATAACAACAATTCATCTTTTCCCAGCATCTTAACAGGGGCAGAGTGCAGTCTACGTCTATACATATTTTTCAGTATAACCGTAACCATTGTTTCATTGTTTCTTGCTGATGGGAGCTTAAAACAACATCATATGACATTTAAATATTTCTTTCATGAATGGCTCCCAAAACAAAAACGTGTTTTTCCATGATTGTTTTCTTAGACCCAATTACTTTGACTTCAGATTGTCCCAATCTAGGGCTTGATGTTGCCAGGTAACATTGCGGTGTCTGGTTTGGCGCTTCTTGAGCTTCTGCTCTGCACTCATTTACCTCTTTGAGTGCTTAGTGGTTCCTCATGCACTGTGCTGAGTGGCAGCGTGGATTAGTTATGAATGTACAAAACATCTGACCAGCAGGTATTGGAAAATTGTATCCAGGTAATTCCCTGGATTTTTTAATAAACTAAGAAGATCTTTTAGAATGGTTCAGCATCAGAATGTCTTCTTACGATACTGAATCGTTCCTGTTCATAGATTTCATGATCGTAATTCCTTTATGAGGCAGCTATTAAAAAAATGGTTCTGTTCAGAGGTGGTTTAGCTACACTGGAGAATGCTGGGTTTAACAGGGAGCACTGGTGCAGGGAACTGAAGGAAGTTTCCCAGGTCAGTTGAAACCTGTCAGATGTTAGCAGAGTGAGCCCGTGGAGGATGGCACACCAAGACTGACATGTAACTGAGGCAGTAAGAAGGAAAGAGGCTCCACACTGCAAGGCTGCCTGTATTTTTTCCAGTTTTCTGGCTTCTTTCAGTCCCAGGCTGTCCAAAACTTGTAGGTCACTGAAGTAGTTCTGTTTGGTAGGCTTTTGAATGCATTTTTTTTCCTTTTTTTTTCTTTTGTCCATAGTCCTCATCAGATCAATGACCTGAAATGTGCAGCGGGCTGTGTCATACCCATTCCTGGACAGGTCTTTTGTAATACACAACATTTTGCTGCACCTCTTTGTTTTTAAACTGGAAGATCGTGTATACCAAGACAAGGATACACAGAGACAAAATGCAAGGGATCACAACTGCAATTGCATTTACAGTGCTAGGCACATCATTTATTGTCACCATAATATCCACATCGTCGTGGGGGAGGCGTCTGTCTTTGCTTCGTTCAACATCTTTCTGGTTACAGCCCATCCAGTCTTTGAGGATTGACCTGGGGTAGCCTGGCTCCACACTCAGCCTCTGGTTATCGAACTTCCAGTACTCCTTCCCTTTGTAGAAGTAGGTATAAACTAGGAGAGAAAACAGAGAAGGTTTCTCACCACACCATTTCCAACTTGGTAAGCTGTGCTTGGGTGAGGATGTGCAGAGAGTCTGAAAGGCTGGAGGCGGCAGCTGCCTGGGACAATAAAACATGTTCACCCAGGGCATCCCAAAACCATTGAAAAGTGAAGGTGCTTCTGGAGCTAGGATTTAGAGGAGAAGCCATAACCCTGGCTTGCAAGTGCAATGTTGCCCACAGAGCACTGTTACCCATGTGAATAAAACCAAAAAACTAACTAGCTTTAGTGTTCTGCAGTGAGTTATTTTTTACTAAAGCAGCTGTAAATACGTACTCATCTTACCAAGCAATTAACATAATCTGCAGAATGATAGTGTGTGCCTGGGTGCGGTAGTGTTTGGAAGAATGCTTAAGGTTTCTGTTCACCCAGCCTGAGGGAGCAGATGCTGAATGAGAGTCCTTTTGGCCACATAATCCGGAAGATTTGGCCGTTGTGAAGGAGGAGTCTTGTCCTGCTGCTAATAAAAGGCTGATGGTTTATGCTACATGTTGTCTGAAGTACCCCTTGTCTCCCCAGTTTCAAATCACTTGAGAGTGATTAGAAAAAAAAAAGAGAGGGGAACAATGGTGAAAGTGTTGGTTCTCCTGCATCTGTCCTCCAGCTTGGCTGGCTCTCACTGCAGTCCTCCAGCCTAGCCCAGCTCTACAGCCCTCGTCTCACACCACAGCCCCAAATTTAAACACAGCTTCAAGAGCACAAGCCCCTTCTGTTAGTTCTTTCCCCAGCTGGAAGAAGAGGAAGAAATCTTCAAATCAGAGAAAGAAATGTGTTGGAAGGAGCCCCTGGAGGTCCAAGCCCCCACTCTGTGCATGACTAACTTCAGAGTACATTGGGCAGGTTGGAGCCTGTACCAGAGTGAGCAAGTGAGCAAGGTAGGAAGCTAGGAGGAAAATGTAAGTTACAGCATCCTGACAATCAGGGCCCAGGAAAACTCTAGTAGGGGATCTTGTGGCAGCAAAACCAGAAAAAGTTCCCTTTTCCATCCCCCAGAGCTGGCATTACGATAATGTGGTTTGGCAGTTGAGGAGGTACATGGGTTGGGATGAGGGTCAGGAAGGATCTCAGACTGCTGATGCTCACAGGTACCAGTGTGACCCGAGGACTTCTGAGACTTGATTCCTATCTCAGAAAATATTCAAAACACCCCACACCCAACCACCCAACTCCCAGGGTAGACAAGCTATTACCAATCTAACAAACAGGTCTAATGACTGCAGATACATACAGCCTTCTTTGCTGATAAAAGCTCCCTGTGGAGCCTGAGGGATTCCTCTCCACACAGTGATGGGCTTTGGGTATCCTGGGTCTGTTGCTCTCTTGTCCTCGTTGTACCTCCAGTACCGGTCACCTTTGAAGAAGTAGGTTTTGCCTACTGGCTCCCAACGCAGAGCCGTGTCGATGCCTTCCCGGGGCAGACAGCTCCCCAGCTCTACTAGGCTGTGTGGGTAGCCTGGCTCTGCTGTCACTTCTTTAAAAACCCAGTATTTATCTCCTAGAGATGAATGGGGACACAAACAACAAACAGATTTTCCTAATTAGTAGTTTAATCAATACAAAATGCCACAATGAATCACAGCATGTTGAGGATTTCCAGGTTTAACTGTATTATGTGAAAAAGCTGTTTGTTTTGAACCTGAAACATCCTGATTTCATTTGCTGCTCCTGAGCTGTTGTTTTGGAAGAGATGTTAAACAACACTTTCCCATTTACCTTCTCTAGGCCAGTCATGACTTCAAAGACTTCTCTCATACCCTGTCTTTGTCATCCTTCATTCGGGCTGAGGAGTTCCTTGCAGGTCAGCCCATACTTTTCGATCATTTCTGTTGCCTTTCTCTGAGCCTTCTTTAATACAGTTTATTGAGCTGAGGGACTGAAGCTGCAGTCATAAATTCAGAAGACCTGGTACTGTGGTTTTGTGCAGGGGCATGCCGATGCTTTCCAGCCACTCTTCCTTGCTTACAACTTGCTCTCAAGTTACAGGATGCTGTTCAGACACTGTGTCAGTGCAAGGAGCTAGTGTGGGCTCCAGCATAAGGTTGGACGTTTTGTCTCTTTAGGAGACAATTGTCCAGAAATGTGGTTTGGGAGTGCCCTATACCTGGAGAGGCCCTAGTGCCGTGCTGAAACATGTTCACAGAGATAGGCAGGAGACTGACACTCCCTGGGAAATAGGAGCTATTTCTTGTTATCACATAGAAACCAACTTCCACTAATTAATAGTAGCTTTATACAGAGATTGTCCTGGCAAGGCCAGCCCACACTAAACTATATTTGAAGGATTAGTGGCTGCTTGAATTGTCCCTTTGGAAAAGGACAAGGATGCAGCATACCTGTTTTCACCATCTTCATGCCATAAGAGTGTGATGCAAGGCAGGTGTGGTAGGCTTGTACTGAAATGTACTGTACCTTTGAAGAAAACGAATTTTCCATCAGACCGCTCATAGGCTGCATCAATCTTTGTGGGGAGGCCTTTCCAGAACTGCTCAATTTGCATGGGATATCCCTCCTGCACTCGGTTGTTGCGCAGACGCCAGAACCAGCGATCCTGAGAAAACCAGAAGCATCTTCAGACTAATTTTCATCTTGCAGTCAAATCAGGCTGGGTGTCCAGCATCAAGTATTACTAATCCCTGCCTAGGCCCCGAGAATTCCTGGTTCAGATGACAGCTCTAACCCAACACTGCCTCCAGTGAGGGAAGCACTTTATGGGGATTGCTGGTGCTGTGAAAAAGGGGGAAAGGAGGAGACAAAACAGGAGCAGCGGGGAGCAAGTTGACAGTTATAAGCACTATGAAATCATTTGTGAGTGACCTCTCTGCATGTCTCGTCACTGAAGTGTCACACTTCTGGTACAACTCGTGCTCAAGTATCAGAGCCCAGGAAAGCCATACAGCATTAACATTACCTGGTGAATGTGTGAAGCACACAACGTCCGAAGGCACAAAGGAGCTATTAAATATCCCTTTAGATATGAGATCATAAGTTAAAGCCATGGATGAACTATTTTCAGTTCAGGCATTTTCTGCAACTGATGTGGTCTGTCCATTTAATGACCTTCAATATATCCCTCTCCACATTCACACCCATTGGGCTGAGTGAAAGCTAGAGGTATTTTGGGAATGGGACCATGGATTTCCATATTCAAGGCACTCTTAACATGGGTTATCAAGCAAAGCCTCTCTTTCATCCCTGGCTGTAGTTTACAAGCAAGGTTGACTCAAACTCCTCAACAGCTTCAGGTAGGCTGAGGGTTCCCTGAAGCCTAGGGTTCGATGCATGCCATCTCTGGAGGCAATGAGGCTTAATCTCTGGTTAGGTACTGGTATTGCTTTCTGGCTTTACAGGTGGCTCCCCTCTGAGCTTGATGGTGTCTGAATTCTCTGCCACTGCATCCAGTTCACATTTTGGTGCACAGGCTGCCTGGGCATTTTGTGAATCCGATCAGGCACTGTTTCCAAATATTACAGAGCCAATCTGCTTACATTTCCTTCTAATATTGCTCTTTTATCAGTCTCAGAGGAACAGAGCTATTTTTACAGACATTTCAAATCTCACTACCTTATACTTCTATTAATCTCTTCCAGCAGTAAAACTAAAGAAAGACTCATGGGTAAGCAGGAATTCTTAGTACCTTGAAAACAAACATTTCTCCTCTAAAGAGAGCCACGGTGTTAAAGTTGCCATCACAGATGTTCGGTTTCGTGCCAGGAGAAGATGGCCTATCACCCAGAGGAGGACTAGGAGGTCTTGGCTGTCTCTCATGTTTTCTTTCCGAAGTGGAGTGAATTCTGCGAACAGGAAGAGTCGGTAAAGGCCTGGTTGGCTCCAGGGGCTCAACAGGAGGACCTAAAAGTGAAAAGAAAAATGCTTAGCAAAGTGGACAAGTTTGGATTTTCTGTGCTTCCCTCATAGGTTTTAAAAGGCAACAGGCTGGATGAATAGCACTGCGAGGAGTTTACATACTCCTTATGCAGAACTCATTCCCTAGAAATGAGGAGCAGAACGAGATGCATCCACACGTGAAAGATGTCCCAAAACAGATCATGAGCAGTAAGAACTGAAGAAGAGCCAGTATGTTTTTGTGGGTCTTCCCAAGGATGCTTGAGCTAAAAGGAAGGAGAAGCCACACCAATCACGTTCCCAACTGAAAGGAAAGTTAATAACCCTTGAATAGAAATGTTTAGTAGACCATAAAAAACCAAACCAAAACAAACAAACAACCCCCCCCAAACCAAAGCAAAACCAGAAAAAAGTTAGGGTGTGAAAACAATGCTACAATCCAAGGGGAACTGCAGGGGAATTTAGAAATTAGAAAGCAATTATTTTATTACAGTTTCACCAATTTTTACTTTCAGAACACCATGGGAACTCTGATGAACGGCCATGATAAGGGACTATGCTCCATTCAAATGATGCCCCCCACAAGCACAGCTCTTCCCTTCAATCCTTACCCAGCTTGAGATCTGACAAGGCTGCAGGAATCTAAAGAGTTATAAAAATAGAAGTGACTTAGATTTGGAGCAGAGGTCTGCTTTTAAACTGATGATTTCCTGAACAGTTAGTGATAAAATCTGGACCAAATCTAATTAAGAGAGTCATGGATTTCTTGTTGCTTCTCAGAGAAGGCCACAAACTAGTATGGCAATAAGCAGAAGGCTACTAGAAGCAAGAGATTTTTGGCAAGTTTTATATCTAATGTAATCAAATGGGATTTGATTGTTTATTTGCATGAATTATGGTTTCAGTCTCTGAGCAGTGCTTTTGAAGGGGCTATATAGAGAGCTTGCAAGACAAACCTCCACCAGTGGGCAGAATGGGGGCTGACTTTCATGGTTGCTGTACCAGTCTCACTGTTTTAGGGGTTCAACAGCACTGCTGATGCGCTTCACGCCAGCTGGAATTACTGAACACTCGCACTGGACAAGGGTCATCCTCACAGGCTGAAAGAGAGTTACCCTGCCTTGCCCATACTCAGAGAAGGACTTTACCGCTAAGGATGTAGATATCCATGGAGGCTACGCACCTGCGGGATTAGAAGAGGACTTTTGCAGATAAACATTCTGAACTATGCTGCCTAAAATGATGGTTAGGTTCCCAAGTCCCCATGTCAACTTAACTGTTAAATGTTACATTTTCAAAGGCTTCCTATAATGAATGAGTGCTTAACACGTCCTGGAAGGGTCATTGGGTTAGTGAAAATCTTCACAGCTAGTGCAAAAGAAGACATCAGAGAAAGCCATCATATTCAATTGTTATTCAGGTTGTAACAGTAAGAATCTTGTGTGTAAGTTTCATGGATATTATGTTCAGAAAGTAGCACTTACTTAGATAATGTAGTCCAACTTCCTGCAGTACCAGCCCAGAAACCTCCAGCTGCAAGTCCTGCAATGAGCCTAATGTTTCTGGTGCAGATATAGCACATTTTCCAGAGTTCAAGCCATAGAAAATCCTCTATATGGCACAGCAAATTGTTCCAGTGATTAAGACCTGTCACTGCTAAAGTCTGTGTCTTACCTATTGTCTGAGTTTCTGCAGCTTTAGATTCAGTATTTTTTTTCTTATCTCTAGTGTCTCAACATTTCATCATTTACAGATCTTGATGAGGATGCTTTTTAAATTCTCCTTAATAAGCTAAATAGACCTGTCCTTTCTGTCTGTTGCTGCAATGTCTTTTGTTTTTAAGATCTTGAGACTTACTCTTACAGCTCTTTTCTAAAGCTTTTTAAAATGGATCATTATATTTCTTCAAGGTGACTTGTCCCCATAATGTGATATTTTGTGCCATATGCAATTTTTATTAAAAGACATCAAATATTGCTTACAGATATCCTTTAGATGAGGATTCTCTGTTGATTCTTGGAAAACTGTCTACATGAAACAGATAAAAATATTATACTGATACCGTGTATTTCTTATCCCCCTCCATTCTTAGCTGTTCAGTGCCCAGTGTCTTGGCAGACCATAAAGTTCTTTTAAATAAAATTCCCAAACTGTGATGATACTGCTAGTGCTAGTGATCTGTGAATCGTCCCCAAATGACATGCAGCAAAGGTCTCCAGACACTGCCTGTCATAGGAGCAACAGGGTTGGACCCCCTTGTTAGCCAGGCAGTATGGATGCATCCACACTAGTGTTCCAGTTCAGCTCAGGAGATGCTCCATGATTTGCAATTTCGGTGCTTTGACTCACACTGAAGTTCATGAAATGCATTCGTTTTGGACAAAGCTAGACTTGAAGATGCACTTCTGGAGTGCATCTAGGATATTGCAGCTGCAAATCAGCATCACAGGGCACAGCTAGAGCTAATCCTCAGTAACCATCCCCTTCCCTGAAATGCATACAGAGTGGGCATCAAGTCCTTAGCACTCTCTTTACTTAACACCATCCCTAAATACTGTTGTATCTATAGATGTGCTACTACTATTCCTGCTAGAGGAGACATTGTTTGCTAATACAGCCATAGGCAACTTACTTATTGTGGTGTGAACACACAGGCTGTGCAAAGGCATCGCCTCCAACAAGTGGCACGCTAGCTGACACTTCTGGTTCAGGCTGGAAAGCTCGTGGAAGTTGGAACAACGGGATATGCAGCAGAGGAAGGGATGGGAACAGGGAAGGAGGTCCAGTCAGATCCTACACAAAGCAAGCTGGGGTTCTGGTTTGTTCAGATGGGGCATAGGAGCACAGTGTTCAGTTCCTGCTTTGGCAAATTAAAGGAGCAGGAAACTGGTAACCTGTTTTGGCTGCCAAAAATGGTACTTGGTGCCTGGTATAGTACCTGAATAAATTAAGTTTGAAAACCAGCAGTCTACATGCTTGGTGAAGATAAAAAAAGCTTGCATTAAGGAAAGGTAAGTCTTGACTGGGATCTTAAGCAAGGGAACCATAAGCAGTGACTTACTGCATACTGCAGGTCTCTCATTAAAGAGCACTGTGATCCTTTTACTCTTGTGCTGCCATCCACACAGCTTTGAGTGGCTGTGTTTTGTAAATAACATTGAAAAAACTCTAATGCATGTCCTACATAATAGGATTCCTCTGCCAACAGATTGATACAAGGATTATTTTTCTAAAGAAGACTACAGCATGTTGCTACAGAAGCACAGGAGAGGTGTAGTTGTTCGTTCCCTCCCCTTTGCAAGAGGCTCACGCTGCCGCACACTGACCAAATCAGAGACGTATTTCTGTTGCCACATGTGGATCAGAAAAGCCTCTTTGGTGGTCAGTTTAACTGATACAGTGGAGCAATTTCATCAGACAGCTCTTTGGCAGTTTGCAGAAGACCGCCACCAGTTCTGACACAGGACAGACCCCTGTGTTGTGAGAGGCAGCTAGAAGCAAATTCACAAGATGATGGTAAGGAGGACTCCGAGGAGCACTGGTGCCTTTAAAGAGGGTGAGATGTGTAGCAATATCTGCAATGCAGAGAGGCACACCTGCTGTCAGAGGGAATTGACTGGGAGGGACCCAAGAAGTCACTGTGCGTTACGTACTCAAACTGCTCGCTGGAAAGACACCGAGTGCGAAAGGGAGTGATTGCCAAGTCGGGGCAGTTCTGTTTCTCAGACACAGCAAACAGATAAAACAAGCCAAAAACTCTACGCTTTGAGAGGAGAAGAGAGCAAGAATAGAGTTTTATAGAGATGACCATTAGCAGTAAGATGAGGACCTGACATTAATTTTTGCCCCCTCTCTTTTAAAGGAAAAAAGAGTGAGACAGGAGTAGCATCTAAAGAAAATTATGATAAATGTGTCTGATGGGTCACAAAGACATAGAATCTGATAATAAGGCGCACAATAGGGACTAAAGTATTGTGGTCATATGCAAGAAATTTAACATCTCATGCATGATTGGAGTTGTTATTCATTCTCTCTTCATCACTCGTATACCAGGTTACAGCCTGCCTTGCCCCTGCTGCAGGACAGCAGTCATGCTTAACTCTCTCACGTTCAACTTAAGTGCCCAAAGTCTGTCACAGTCTTCTGTAGAGAAGAGGAAAGTTAAAATAGCACCTGCAACCCAGAGGACCAGTGTAAAGGTTTTAATTAGCCCTAAATTAGCCCTACTGAAACAGAATGCAGTAAACTTGCAAGGCAGAAGCAGTTGTACACACTGCGGTCAGGATGGTGCAAATCAGCAACGATTCAGGTGAACCAGAGATTTGCATTAACTGAAACATTTGCTAGAGCAGTGGAAAGAGATCACAAGTCAGCAACAACGGAAGCTGGGCCACCATACATACTCAATGCTTGCAATGGCCAAACTAGCGCTGGCATATTGCTCTGAAGGCAGTAGCCAGCACTGACAAGGCTTCCCACACATTTTCCAGGTGGTAATGCAACTTGCCTTTGTCATTTCACTTAAAATATTCCTCTTACTGTCTTTCCCTGCCAGCCACGGATTTTTCCTTGATATTTTTTGCTTCTTTTCTTGTTTTTATGCATTCTGGGACTTCTAATTTATCCTAATGGAAGTCTTGTCTCCTCTTCTGGTTATACAGGTTACATTTTTATTTTTCATTGCTGCCTTTGCTTTGTCACTGAGTGAGGGTGGACTTACAGCTAAAGGTGGAAGGTAATCCCACAGTTATGCACATGCAAAGAGCAGAGAAGCACACATACAACATGAAAAGCCTCAAGTACCAGTGCTAGGCAGGCAGAATTTGGTCTACAGTTAGGGGAATGGAAAGCAGAAGCACAACCTGTCCATTGCTAAAGATGCTAACTCGTAAACCTAAGCCGCTTCAGCGCACAACCCGGCATGAAAGCAGAATGAAGAAACCCAATATAGTTTGCCAGTCATTACTATTTCCAGAATCTCATCACAGTAACCTGCCTCCAAAACA